TTGATAGTTCGAAACGGAGTCGTCGTAATATTGACGGGATGGAAGCAAAGTTCTTGGTTCAAGTTCTAGGTTGTGCGAAGAATCCGGAACGCGTCGAATTGTTACAAGATAAGGAACTGGATTATGCAAATGCAATCGTTATACATTGGTTCACAGAATAAACTGCGAACGTTGAATATCTCACAGAGTATGGATCTAATGCCTGTGTGGGTGTCAGTTAAGGAATTATTTATGGGGAGTTTTCGAGATAAAGGGAATAATGCAGGTATTATAATTTTAAAAGCTTTTCATTTAATTAGTCTTAAGGGATTCTTTACAATTAACAAGCTCTAACGTATCTTTTTATGCTTTTATGAACAAAAGCCTTAAACTCTAAATATTCCTTTAATCAAATCATTCACAATAACAATAGATAGGTGGATTCACTTAATCAAACCTATAGCCAGCCACTTACCACTTTTCACGAACCAAATTTCAAATCGCCTAATCCGCGATTTGTGTGTTTTGCATAATGATGATGTGATTTACAATTTACATTATAAGCAAAATATTTAATGATAGAAGGCATGCATAACTATATTGAAAAAATAAACTTTATAAAAAATGTTTTAGTATTTGTTTCTGATCATGAACAATTCTTCAATAACGAGATATTTGAAGCTCGTCTATGAATAATTCAAATATGAGTCATTATATTTCTTGTGATTTAAGTGACTTAAAACGCGCCACAATTCATGTTATTAGGAACCCGAGCACAGATTCGTCAGGTTAAGTCACAGTTAATGCTGAACTCTGCAAAAATTCGAATAAACTTAGAGTGAGATCAAGAGTAGGGCCAGAGTTAGGGTTGGAGGCAAGGTTATATTTAATGCACCATGCTAGATTAAGCTGTTTTATCGGGTTGATCAAAAATTTACTTTGGTTTGTGCCACACGTGCCACTTTAAAATTGTTCATTATGATAATGGGTGATTCGATATTGAGCAGAATACCAGATTATGATCGAACACATGATCCGAAGAGAAGTTTTGCATTTTACTATAATTCCGCTGTAAAATTTTCATTTAACTGATAAAATACAAAAAAAATTGGCAAATTCTCTTAAGTTGAAATATGAATATATTTGCCAACTATAAATTGTATGATTAAAAATCACAAGGTTATGAAAAATTAGCATTTGTTACACACGATTTGTAATACACGTGATATTTAAAATATTTTTTAGTGGTATATCAATTTTTATAATTAACGCATAACTCATATTTTCAAAGAAACTATGGGAGATAACAAAACTAACACCAAGAAAAATGATGATGATGATGATATCATGAATCCGGAGATGTGTTATAATCTTAGTTATTTTAAAGGTGAATCTTTTATACTTTATATTTCTTTTTTTCTTCTATCATCATTGATCTTTTTTAAAATTCTATAGATCTAATGAAAGAGTATAGAAAGATAGACGATAACATAATTTTACGATTAAATTCCACGAACACGCACTCACAAGCAGCTTGCGAGGTTTTCTTTCAACAATTGGCAAAGGCGTAGATATTCATTATTTATCGTTATTATTTTCTGTTGTCACGCATTTCTTATTAATAAATTCCAGTTTATAGATATACGAAACGAGAGAAAGCCATAAAATTTTGCTTGAAGGTGTTTATTGATTGAATGTGCGATTGATTTATTGATTTGTGCTATTTATTTAAATGCGATGCAAATTTGGGAGAGGCGTGTGTATGATTATGTATGCGTGAGCATTGAAAGTGCTATGCTCGATTTTTTGGATAAAATTGGGAACATTTGGTTTTTTAATGGCATTCCTTTTCTTGATCAGATTATGGACGAAGAATTAATACAAAAACAGCAAAAATACGAAGATGATCCGTTCAATAGTAACTTGAAGAATGAAATGTTCGTCACAGAATCAAAGGTAAAGAAAGATCACATTCTTGCCTTTCTTCTTTATATAAATACATGTTACGTGACATACTCAAAATGAATAATGTAGAGACGAATGATTGCAAACGAAACAGCGGTGGAGGAGATTGTTCGCGAACGAAGTATCAATCTATTCAAGAATAAATGTCGGCTTTTTCGTATACCACCTAATTTCCGAGAGTTTATTAGTAATAGTGAATAAATGTCTGGTAGCATAAATTGTTTAGATCCACGCGTGCATGCATGCGTTAAAAATTTTAACGCAATTTTTTTTTGTTGAAATTAACGAGGCAAAATTCGAAATCTTTAAAGGAATAAAAAGGAGTTTACCTTATAACTAATAGGATGACTTGTTTAAAATAAAATCGAGAAGGAAGAATATGACACGTGTATTTAGAATAATCTCGTCAAGTCCACTAGTTGAGCTTTTTAGCAAGCAAAAGAGGGTATCGTATTTATTTCGAAATATTTCTGGCAAAAGTAATAACGCAGAGATACAAAGTAAAACAGAATTAAAAGTTGCGAATGCAGCTACTACAAACGTAACATCATTGACACAGGGCAACAAAAAGTCAGAGGAAACAACATCTGTTGAATTTGCCGAACCATCACATGAGAATGACAAAGAAATCAGCAGACGGAAATTTAAAAAGTGGACAAAAGAAGATGAAGAAACACTTAGAAGAGCGGTGGACAATCACGGTAAAGATTGGGAAAAAATTTCAGAGAATTATTTTGACTCCGGGCGATCACCAGCATCAATTTACGAAAAATTCTGCAAGGGCCTCAAAGGTTCAAATTTGACGTATATAAAATGGACACCCGAAGAGGACCAAAAATTGGAGGAAGGCGTTGCAAAACTTGGCGTGGGAAATTGGCAAGATATCCGAAAAGAATTCCTACCCAATAGGAACGGACAACAGATTCTAGGTCGGTGGAAAATTATCTCATCAACAAAACGGGGCAATTGGACCCCAGAAGAGGACGAAGCACTACAAGAATTTGTCAGAAAGAACGGGTGCAAGTGGAGTTTGGCGTCTAAGGTTTTTAAACGTCCTTATCTTCGTATTTTTGAACGATGGGATCGATATCTGGCACCTGGTCTAAAGAGAGGCACATGGACCGAAGAAGAATTAGAAATATTAAGGAATTCCATAAAGAAATTTGGCAAAGATTGGGATAAGATTAAAGAAGCGTTACCACATAGATCTCTTTATTTTATTAAACAAAAGTATCGAAATTCACCTTCTGTTCGACCAGAATTCAAGAAAGGAACCTGGGGTGTAGATGAAGAATTGGCCCTTGTCGAAGCTGTAAAGAAATGTGGAAAGCGATGGAATGACGTGTCAAACATGATTGGCACTAGAAGTCCCGATCAATGTTGTTCTTATTATTGTAAAACTCTATTGTCGAAACTTTCTTTATTTACATTCTCCCTTTATTATGGTCATAAACACATCAAGGGAAAAGAGAGAAATGGGAGGAGAGGAACAGGAGAAGATTCATCAAAGTATCATTGATGCGCTAAAACACCAAATTACGACTCACATGATACACCAAGAAGGCACCACATCTCTAATTTAAATATGGATTCATAAATTACGAGATGGAATTCTTTTCTCATTGTTTTGATACGTTCAAAATAATTTATTTTTTTTGTGGGAATATTAAAATAGAAAAACTAATAACTGAGAATAAAGCAAAATGCAACGAAAAAGGGTTAAACGCGACTAATGGACGCGTCTTATTCTTACTATTCTTACTGATATTCAATGATATTCATTCATACGTAATAGTATTGTATTTCCGAAGATCCATCTCCGTTAAAGTTTTCTTTTCCCGCGCAGGTGACATCAAATAACAATTTAGCTTCCCTAAACTGGTCGTCAACCATAATACGATATATAAAGTGTTGAAAATCGTTCTAAAAATTTTCCTCCCTGTTTTTTGCACTCATAAAACTCATCATACCATTACGTTACTATTATTATTTATTTATTATACGAAAAATTTGCTGTGGCCAGATAGATAAATTAAAATGACGCCCAAAGCTTTTGCTTGCAATGACGATTATTCACATTCATCTTCTCAATGCGAAATTTCAAATCAAATACCACCCACGCCAATACAACCGACTTTTAATCCTTCTTTTGAAGCGAACGATGAACAAGTCGCTGCCATTTATCAACATTGGTTATACGCGAATTTCCAATCATCAACTTTTAACATTTCGTCATCATCATCAACGTCAACCATCACCACCAACAACACCAGCAGCACACCTATGCAAGAATCAAATAATTCAACTCGATTACTTTATGAATCTCCACCAGGATCACTATCAATGTTCAATGATTTTCTAGAACTTGATTCTTCTACCGAGTTTATTGACTCACATCATCCAACAACAGAATCAAGGGACATTTTCTCATCACAAGAATTAGATAATCTATTCGCATCGCTGACCAAAGCAGCGGCTGGATGTGGAACAAGTGATTGTTGTGTTGATGATTTACAGGAACGAGAGTTTCAAGATGATGACGGAATTTGTGCTCTTTTGTCGGACATAAATAAAAGAGAAGAGATGGAGAATTTAGATAAATTAGCAGATACTTTTGATTCTATCGCGATAGTTTAACTGTAATGGACTTTTCATTTCGGGAAATGGTAATTCACTATGGAAACTATAGAAGGTTTCATCTTTTCTTTTAATTCAACAATTATATATGATAATAACAATAATAATAATTATCATCATCATCATCATCATCATCATCATCATCTTTACACCTGCACCGTAGTTTGTACAAATAATAAATCATCTTTACACATAGAATAGATTACAACAGCAATAATATAATAATAATAATAATAATAATAATATCACCATCTACACTTAGCAATTAATAATACCACCATGCAAAAAACTGCAATTTCATGCCGAACATGGTTATAATTTAATTGATAGTAATAGTAATAATAGTAACATTAATGATGTAAGGATGTCCTTTGATTTTAATAAAGTAATGGCTTGAGTTTTTTTGGTAGCGAACGAACACAAAAAAGGTTTCATTTCAGTCAATCAACTAAAATGACGTTTCTGAGAAGAAGAGGAAAAGATGTTCAACATTCATACAAAGTAACACCTCCCTAAACGCACTCTCTATAAACGCATGGTGTGACAAAATCCAAACTATATGTATTTTACTCGCTATAAATGCACACTCGCCTTCTGTCATTTTTTTCATATGGTCCCAAGAGGAGTGGATTTAGTTTATCTGTATAATTAATCTCGGAGAACGATTCTTGAAATTACATCTTTTTTGTGGCAAAGTAAAATTTCACCTAGTAAGGAAAAAAAATTTGCCTTCAAAGTCACATCGATTACCTATCCAAAGAAATGTGGTTACATTTTGCAAAGCGCCATGTATAAAATTGCGTGTTACACAACAACACTTTAATGATCGGAACATGACTCACTCATTCATATCAGACCAAATTTGGAGTCAAGTCTCTGTTAAATTCCATGTGACCCAAACTTATTCATGTGCACACTAAAGTCTAGGGTTCCACTGTTTCATACAGTTAAATTATATAAAACTATTTAAACGTTAACTTTTAATAATGAATTCGGGATAATCGTCGTCGGGCATCACATCTGTTTTCCATTAACTTATGACTGTGTATGACTTGACTGATCATGTAAGCATGCATGTAATTCCAGACGCAATACCCCACTCGTCAAACATTACCAAAAAGGCGAAACTACGCACCAAAAAAAAAAAAGCTCACTAGTTCTCACTTTGGCAAATGCTGGTATCCATGTGAAATTTTCGAAGAGTAAAGTGCAGTATGCATTAAAAAGAGAGGGAAATTTGGTGATATCTACATTGGATGAATTTTCTGATCAAAGAGTTGTTGATGATTGTGTGTATTGGGACAATGAAATTTGAAGATGAGGTTCGAGAATTTTTTTTTATTGAAAGGTTTTTGTATTTGTTCTCACGTTCCGACCAAACAATAACAATCAATCCATTGAGACTTACCATTTTTTTTACTCTTTCATTTTACAAAATAAAATTCAATGCGATCAAAAATAAATCATCGAAAAATAGATCTGTGTGTCATTTCGTTTAGATCGGGGCAAATACGGGTAACCCTATGCCAAAGGGAAGATTATGACTACTTTTATATAGATGTTTTATTCCTTCAACTGAGAACAGGTGTCGTTGCAGCTAACCATTGTATGCATTTCTCTATTCAAGCAATAACGATAAAAAAGCATACGGGATTAGGAGATTCAAAAAAAGAATATATTGATCGATATGGAAGGGATGGATGAATACCCGATAATTTTCTTTCATATATACATAGTTAGCTTGAGGTGACAAAATATTAAGAGCTAAAGATAATCTCGCGCAATTTTCCTGTATCAAAAAATGGTTACATACAAACGTACAAAACATACACACATAGACATACATACATGCACGTAGAGACATACGTACAACATGTACTACATGCATATAATTTTATGCGAGATAAGCTTTTTTTCACGGTTTCTGCCCTGTCTGTGGGCTTAGACTCTATTAGTTATCTCTTTCTCGTAGTAAACCACGCTATTTCATAATTCACGATCGAAGGTATATTAACGATGTCAATGGAATTTTATCCGCGCTATTTTTCTAATAAATTAACATACGTATCTTAGAAAACAAAATTCGTTATCTTCGTATCAATCAAACCCAAAGTTTATTCGCCATTTTTAATTAATTTTCAGGGACGCATACATGCTTGTGACAATTGGGGGGAATCAAACTTCAATAGTTAATTTTATTTGTTTATTTATATACTCTTGGCGTCTACGCATGTCAAGAAAAAAATTTTTTTTCGTCAAACCACGCGGTAGAAAATGTTTCCTTTTGGGAAATAGAATCTCAACGGAACAGAATTGGAACTCGATCGAATCTTGATTTCATAAATCTTTTATGCTATTATTGAGTTAGACTCGTGATCGATACATACATGTATACTCCTTAAACAATAGAGTCGTTCAAAGGATGAGAAAATGACCAAGGGGGGGTTTAGATTTAGGGTCAATGGATTTGAAATTAACATTACTTCATCATACCAAGCACTACGTAGTCACAATATAGGTTTTTGAAAGATTACCCCCCAGGAAATTTCTTAAACCGAGTCTTTTTCTCTTTTTTTAGTTTAAGCTGACTGATAATGATGACCATAATCCCCCTTTATTTTTGGTTTCATCCGCGCTGATACGATAATAACAATAGCGATAGATCCTTTCTTTTCGGATTTTGACGTTTTTAATTAATAAAGTTGAGGCTTTGAATGTATATGAATAATATAATAAGTTCTTTTGAACATTCCGGAATTTCTTTGATTTTTGACTGATTGATTGATTGTGTGCATAACTTTTAAACTCTTCTCCCCCCCCCCCCAAAAAATATGCAACTATCTGACAGGACGATAGAACAAAGCCACATATTACTAATACTTTACACTACAGTAACTTTATATCAAAATATATATCACGTATCACCAGTTTTTTTTTATCACAGAATCTGATTTATATATAAACCCAAGCAACAACATACTGATTCTTCGTTAAGCATTTTTTTTTCAAACAATTTTTCAAATCTCTTTCAAACAACTTCTTGTTTCTTTTTTTATTTAGGTTCATACCTTTATTCGTTTCGTTAATTTAATTAATAACAACACGCTGTATATTTATTAATAAACACATACATTATACTTGTGTTTTTTAATAAACTATCTACCCGCGAAGTTTTATTATATTAACCTCATTCCCCACAGTTTTATAAATTTAGTGTTTTGGTCTTATTAATTTAACGACTACACACCTAAAATACAAAACTACGTTATTAGTTTATCTATTACTACAGTAATATCTTCTATCTAACGATTTATCATCTATTCTCATTATCCTTATTTATCATTTTTACGACAACAATCTATTCACATCATATTCAATCTTATCTTACGAACAAAAATTAACAAAAATGGTCTATGTCAACAAATCAAATTCTGAAACTCTCAAGAAATATCTCTCGCTCGATCAAAAGGGAAAAATCCAGGCTGAGTATATCTGGATTGACGGCGATAGTGGTATTCGTGGGAAGACTACTACTCTCGACAAGTACCCCACCGACGTGAGCGAATTGAAGGAATGGAATTATGACGGCTCCTCTACCAATCAAGCTCCCGGTGATAATTCTGATGTCTTGCTTCGTCCGGTCGCGTTCTTCAAGGACCCATTCCGTGGTGGTGATAATATCCTCGTGTTATGCGAATGCTGGAACAATGACGGTACCCCGAATAGGACAAACTATCGGCACAGTTGTGCTAAGTTGATGACTACGGTCACTGAACATCATCCTTGGTTCGGCATCGAACAAGAATATACACTATTCGATACTGACGGACAAGTACTCGGTTGGCCTAAAGGCGGTTATCCTGGTCCACAAGGACCTTACTATTGCTCGGTAGGTGCGAATAACGCATTTGGACGTGACATCGTCGAAGCGCATTATCGTGCTTGCCTTTACTCCGGTATAAGCATATCTGGTGTTAATGCGGAAGTTATGCCTGGTAATTCATCGATCAACATCCTGTATCGCTATCTATTCTATAATTGACAATGACTAACCTTTCTTTCTTCGTGTGTAATGTTTAGGGCAATGGGAGTTCCAAGTTGGTCCGTGTGAGGGCATCAATATGGGCGATCATCTATGGGTCGCAAGGTATCTACTGCATCGGGTGGCGGAAGACTTTGGAGTGGTGGTTTCGTTCCATCCAAAACCAATACCAGGCGATTGGAACGGTGCCGGTTGTCATACAAATTATTCCACGCAAGCAATGCGCGAAGCGGGAGGTATAAAAGCAATTCATGAAGCAATCGAAAAGATGTCGGAAAGACACGCGGAGCATATCGCCGTATACGGAGAGGATAATGAAAAACGACTGACGGGTCAACATGAAACGGGTCATATATCACAGTTCTCGTCCGGTGTTGCTAATCGAGGCGCATCAATTCGAATTCCAAGGCATGTAGCCGCAGAAGGTAAAGGCTATATGGAAGATCGTCGGCCAGCATCCAATATTGATCCATATCGTGTCACACAAATCATAGTCGAATCGACACTCGGATAATAACTATCTTATGAGTGGAAAAGAATTTTTTTTAATGAACATTGAATTTTATTTTTGAAGATACGATCTTTCTTCATTATTAGTATTTTATTCTTTTCCACTCATAAATCATCAAAAAATGCTTAACCACTCGCATGAACTTTTGACTTTGATGACTTATTATCGATGAATCCCTTTTTTAATATATTCTATGATTTCTTAATTTTTCTAATTAATTAATAGTACATAAATTTACACCTTTATTATTTCTTTTAATATTTTTAATTTACTACTATTATCACCTAATGCACGATCAATATTTGGAAAAGGCTGTTTGGCCCCGGACGGACTTTTTAAATGAACGCTTTCCGTCTCCTTTTTAAAGAAAAACTTGGGAAATGAGTTTTGACCTTCGCGGGTCGACTTTTTTTTCTTTTTTTTTTTTTTGGAAACCAATTCACACTTTCCATTCACTTCCTTTTGATTGTATTTCTTGTTCGTCGTAACGAGCATATCCAGGATGATGAACATTATACACTTAGAGAGAAAGTCTTAACATTACGTGTAGAGTATTCTTAAATACATAAGGTCCTCACCCAGAAACGACGAGAATCATTCAACCCAAGTTCAACATAATGGCTTGGAATAATGACGAACAAGTGGTTTTCCCATGCGTCAAAATTATACTCGTATCTTGGTATTCTCACCTTTACTCAGCACACAATCATACCTACAAATTCTATTCAATATCCTCTTGAATTCGAAAACATCTCTAATCTGATCTCTTAAGTGATAATCTACCGTTCTATAATTCTTCATCCTATTTCACCTTATACAATCAAAAGAAGAAACAAACAAGTGACCTTTTTGTCCCTTTTATACTCTTTTCTTTTGTCCTTTCCTCAAACAAAAACACATTTCAAGAAAAACACTCCCGAAAAAATTGTTGTAAATAACGGGAAAATCAAATCCCATCCATGTCTATGTCTAAAGTTTTCGTAAATACTTAAATCCAAAGTTATATATATACATACGTTATATACATATACAACCTCTAAGTTTTTTTTTTTTAATGTAAATATTTTTTATATTCAAAACACACGCACACACAATTACGCGATTTTTTATGTATAGTAAATATAACAAACTTTATAGTAAATAATTTTCTTCAATTTTTTGATTAAGTGGTAGCCAATTTGGGTCGGGGACTTCTTTTTTCGAGAGCTTTGGGTTTAACGGATTATCCACCAATTATTCGTTTCATATATCTAAATCGGATATATTTAACATCCCCAATTCTCTGAAACGAAACCACCCGAATCATCATCGTTTATATCATCATTTATTACTCTCACCCACAAAGCAACCCAAAATTCAACAAACCCTTTATTTGTACACTATTGTACACTTATTGTACATTTTTTGTACATTTTTTGTACATTTTTCTTATCGTTTGTGCTTCAAACGTACAAACACCAATTTATTTCCTCCTAACCCTTAAAAGTCTTAATCCACTTATAATAACAACAAGAATAATAATAATTTTCAGCCAAAATTGTTTATGCCAATTATAGTAATAATTTTTATACGCACCTTTTTAAGAAGATTTGTGAAATATTCACTCATCTAATTATATTTCGATTTTAAATTTTAGTATAAGGATGATAACATTTTGGCTTTATGTTTATAATAATTTTAAATAATTGGATTTTTTTGGGAGGAGGAAATTCACATTTTTTGGGTTTTGCTGAGATTGATGAATAAAATAACGAATGAGTTGGGTGGAATTTCGATTCATTTATTTTTTGGAGGTGGATTATATACTAATATTTGGTATATTTTTCCTCCTAATCCATATTATCCTATATAACCCTCTCGATACCTTTATCACCCTTATTCTCCCTACTCTTACTACCACTAATCTATTCTAAAATCATCTACGTTTAGCAATTTTTTTAAATTTCAAATTTCCTTGCAATTTTTTTGGGAGTGTTTTCTTTTTAATAAGGATTAGTGTTTTAAAAGAGATATGTTCTTTTAATTGTTCTTAATAATTGTAAAATATTATCAAGTCTAATAATAAAGGAAAGAGCAAATTTGGAAAGTGTGGATTTCAATGTCCACACACATTAAAAAAAAAATTTTGGAAAATCTTGATTTTCAGAATTGCTTAGCAATTGGATAAATTCGTTTTGGCAGAACAAGTATTATTTTATGTATAATTCATACAAAATTACAAATTAACTTTCAGATCCGAAGACGAGGCTGCACAAACGTAGCGGTTGCGACGAGACTAGTCATGCAACATACGCTTACTTTCAAGAGATCAAGATAGGGAAACGCGATGATAAATGCTGGTTCATTAATCTTTTGATCTATTAAAAGATATTCACTTACGCTTGAATTTCGGTAATGGAGAACGTTTGCGTTGTTGAAGCTGAAGTTCCAGACATTTATAAACTCATACATGGTTTGCAATGTAAATGCTAGAACAGCCAGTAAAGAAACAGTAGTTTCATCCAACGGATAGGCGGAATAGAGAGAATACCTTCGTTGAGTTCTAAACAGGTGAATATCGAGTCACGATTACCCTGATAATATAGCATAGGAATTATGATCGCTTAGTTTGGAACATAAATGATCAATTTTTCATTGAGTTTCTATTAATGTCGGTCATCGAAACATTTAGATTTCTAATTATATCAAAACGGTGAAGTTGCACCACAGGTCGTTCCGAAATTATTCGTTTCGCGCTCGATAGCCAAACAATTCAGCCAATTGCCAATCAAAGCATAATGTGAACGCCAGAAAATAATTTTGTCGGTGATCAGTACTGGGTGTGGGAAAGTGAAAATTATTCCGAACACAATCCACACTGCAAAGTATATTTCATGATCTTGTTCCGGTTGCGAGAATTATCGGAATCCGAATAATTCACAGATAATCGAACTTGCATGGAAGTCTTGTAAGAATGCAATTCGGGCACTTGATCCGAGTCACAAGTGCAATCGCATGTGGTGTGGTGGAACAGAAATTAATATGTTGTCCGGTCTCACTCGGATGAAAGTTTTTCTACATTCAGGTTCGAAAATTCATCAGAAGATGCATTTTACAACCTCATGAAAAATCTCACAGTATAATTTTCAGATGACCCGGGTGAACTAATTAATCTTTTGAATATCATTGACTTTTTTAGTGCATAAGCTAGATTTAGGCATTTGTTTCTCGCTTTGCACACAGAAATACGGGTCGTCAGAGGTCGGATATGCCCCGTTCTTGTAATTATAAAAAGAATCTTAATTGATGTAAAATTCTTTTGTGAATAAACACTATGAATTCCAAGTCTGAAAAATTTCGCAGTATATCATTTCTAATGCAATGCTTGGGACTTGTATAGTCTAAATGCATACACCAAGAGGAAAGAGCTAATGCGGCATTGATTTTAAATTAAAGTTAATTCCATAATTTTCCTAAATAAAGTGTTACGTTCCGAACTATAATAGAATTTACATGAATAACTAACTAGCTATCGCTATAGTAAGTAAACAACATTATAATGTATTCCACAAAGAAATGTTTCAATTCTTCATAAGAAAAAGTTTAGAATTTCTTCTTGGTTTTTCACGAATAACTGTCTCGATATTAAAACATGCAATTGGACGACTATCGTCCGTAAAGAGACGAGCGTTTACTGAATATTGTCCCTATAATAAAAAAATCATTAATTCATTTCGCAAAATAATAATAATAATGAATAACAAACTTGCCGCTGGAATATCGGTAGGCACCACTATACTATGTTTAATCTCGATAGGGCCTTTGACCAATGGACAACGCAAGTCTAAAAACTCTTCACACAAATCCAGTTCCCCTTCATACAGCTTTGCTGCGTCACGTGACACATTTACTTTGACAACACCTTCCTCGACATCCTCACTCAATTTCCCGGTTACTTCGAATGTTAATAGTTCGCCAACAATAGGAGATTCCGGAATCATTTTCAGGCTGGTGATTTGGAGAATATCGTTGGGTGTTCCACAGTCTGTTATTGGTGTAACTCTATTTACAACAATGTGGTCTAATTTTGAGGATGATAATTCGGAGGAGAGTAAAGAAATTTCATTGTCACAGCTTTTGAGCGTGAAAAATGTTATTCCTATCATTATAATCGTAAGGAAAATAATGAAAAACGAGAGATGTAAGTTAATCATCTTTTCTTGTTTGTTTTTAGAATGCTAATTTCTTTTAACATTTAATCTTATATACAATATTTTTGAATTATTTCTTAAATTGATTTGATGTTTTTAATTGTGTGGGACACATACGCAAAAGTTACGTTATTTTGATGGATCTGTAAATATCACAAGCATAACCTTTATCGTTATAGTTCTAACTTAATAGTTTCCTTCCGAAACCGATTAGGGAACACTAACGTAGGTTTTGCGTATCGTAACAAGCTAATCATGTGATGAGAAAAAATTTTTTTCAATAAGATTTTGCTCTCTAAAAGATTTTTCCTCACATATACCAAAGCTCAGGCACACAATTTTTCATCAATAATTTAAGAGTAATGGTTAGTCTCTTCTTGACGTTATTTAATTAAAACTGTTGAATTTTAAATTTCAACTTAAATTTACAATCTATCTAACTTCCATCTGTTCATCAACAAAAAAGGATACAAAACAACCCGTAAAACTCGCCAAAGTATCAAAAGTGCTTGGTCGTACTGGCTCTCGTGGAGGCGTCACACAAGTCCGCGTTGACTTTATGGACGACCAACAACGCTCAATTATCCGAAATGTCAAAGGGCCTGTGCGTGAAGGTGATATCTTATGTTTACTCGAGTCGGAGCGTGAAGCTAGAAGATTGCGTTGATTGCGTTAATAGATTAATAATTAGAATGCAATATAAATTAATGGTGAGTGCAGGATTGAAGTATGAAGAGATTGGATTGATTTTTTTTCGATTAATGTGTTTATATTTAATTAGATTTTTATTTGGCCTTTGAAAGGTTGCAACTTTTTGATTTAAAATCGTAATTTTTACCGTGGGTGCAGGATTGAAGTATGAGGAGATTGGATTGATTTCTTTTTTTTTCAATCAGTATGTTTTTTTATTTTTATATATTAGATCTTTATTTGGCTTTTAGTGAATGGATTTGGTATTGCATGCCGTAATAGGATGAATAAAGTTGAAAGGTTGCAACTTTTTGATTTTAAAATCGTAATTTTTTCCGTAATTGGTATAATACAAGTCAACCTCTCTATAACGACACTTTTTTATAACGGAATTTCTATATAGCGACCCAATTTTCTAGAATGATTCATATATTATTATAGGAAATTGACCTCTATATAATGACATTCTCTTTTTGAGTACAAAATTAGCCTGGATATTTGATGTCATTATAAAGAGTTTTGTAAAGTTCGTAATTGATGCATTATATTCGTAGTTGGTGTAAAAGTTTGCAATTAATATTTGTACAAAATAATGAAATCCGTAATAATGAGTAATTTCACTTACGGGCTCAATATATCTCGAGATCGACGGAGAAAATCGAGTGTAAGGCCCACCAGTTGATTCACCAAAACCTAGGGAATCGAATGATCAGCTTTATACTTATCTAGCCATAAGTTACGAATCATGTGATTTAAGGAGTAAACCAATCAAATCACAAGATCAATATGTCACGGAAAAGTATCTCGAAATTTTAGGCCTTGGTTGGATTCAGGATTACAATTACTTACGGTCAGAACTCTAATTGGATTTATTTATTTTATTTTCGATAGGCGTAATACGAATGGATGAATTCGAAATTGAGTTATTCGTTTGGAACTTTTTTTGTTTATTAAAAGATGATAAACGTAAACGAATAAAAAAAATAAAGAACAAAACCGAAAACGTGATCTGTAAGGAAATCATATTATTCATCTTCCATAGCTATAAATTATAAATATTGATTATTTCTCTGTTGTTGTTCTGGTTTATAGATGTTCTCATGTCATTAATTAGAAAACAACAGATAGGAAGAAACAGAAAGAAGCCATACTTAATTACAAAAATAATCGATACGAGATTAGCTACCTGCTTGAGGGATTTTTATTAATTTTATTTTTTCCGATTATTGCGGTTGTGATCGTTTACATCGTTGAGTTATAGAGGCTATCCGAGGAAAGTTTTAGATGATGATAAAGAATCATAAAAATAATACATGAATAAATAAAATACATAGTTAAATAATGATAATTGAGGTAAAAAAAACTTAGCAGTGGCAATAAAGTGATAAAAGAATTTATACTTAAAAAAAAATTTTAGTTATATTACACATAATTGTCTTTTCAATTGATTTTTTATTTATTACATTGATCAATAAATTGATAAAATTTCTTGATTATTATAAATACGCGTGTATACGCGCATTTTAATAGAAAAGAACCACCACCCACCAATATAATGTATTGTAATGTAATAACAGATCAATTCATTGAAAAATAAAAGTCTTTTTTTGAACAATAAATAATAAAAAAAGAAAGCAACTAACGATTATAGTCTCTTAGATTCCCCCGGTTAATAAATTCAGTCAGTCAACCAACCAGTCAATCTTTCCAACCTTCCGTATTTCCATATTATAATTATAGTATTACCATTACCATTACTATTATTATTATTAAATGCTATAGTGTAGTCTTATTATTATTATTATGATTACTATTTTAACATTATTAATTTTATCTTGACTATCACCATATTTATATGACCATAATGCATTATTAATTTGTGTTTTTCTATCATTTATTAAACCCAATTAATTAAACCTTCCTAACCCTAGCCCACATCTCTAATAGTCCCCCATTTTCCCATTTCTCTAGAGCCTCTCTATATATTAGAGTCTCTCTATAAGGTGATTAAGCAATATTATTCTTATTATCATTATTATATATAGTTCTACCATAGTACGTATACAGCATTATTATGTAGTTAATCATCATCATCCATATAATCTATATTGTTATTATCACCCTGGTCATCAACGTTTCCTTCCTCCTCATCATCCTCATCGTCATCATCCTCGTCAGTCACCCAACCATCATATTCTGTTTCAATGTCCTCCATCACGACACCCCAACACCCGATCACTTCCACCCTTAAATCTTTACACCATTTTCTGAGCTCCAATAAACTTAGATCGGTCACCAACTCACAACACTTTAAATTCAGCCATCGAATAGTTGGACACGTTGTTGCAATTTGTGATAATGCCAGATCAGTTATGTCAGTATATGAGAAGTTCAACGTGGTGAGTGCACTACACTCGGTCGCCAACGCCATGAATCCATCATCGGTGAATTTAGGACACTGTGACACATTCAAGTTTGTTAGATGCGGTCCTAAGGTTCGGGCGATATGCTTTAGCGTGCTATCGTGAAGTTGTGCACAATAGTTGATGTCGAGAAATGTTAAGTTTGGACAGAGGGAAATCAAAGCGATGATGTCCGGATCAGTTATGTTTGACCAACGATGTGGTAATAATGAGAGATCAATCTCACGAACTAAAAGTCCAGAAAATTTTGGTATTTTTAGAAATTTATGAAAAGCTTGAAGACTAAAAATTTGTGGACGTCTATATAATAAAGGACGCGCGATGGCGTTCCATTGTCTACATACTAGAGTCACTTGCGATATTGTCTTTTGATCATTAGCTAGTAATGAGAAGACTGAGTGCAGTAGTTCCGTTGGTAAATTATTCATCTGGATTCGTGTGTTATTATATGTATGTGAATGCGTGCTCTTGCTATGATTTAAAAAAAAAATCTAGCAAATATGTAGACTAGGTTCAATAAAGTAAAGAAAGATGAGGAAATGACGGGTTAGTGAAATAATGAATTATATAACTAACTATTAAATATTATTATTATTATTATTATTATTATTATTATTATTACTATTATTACAGATTATTATTATTATTATTATTATTATTATTTTTACTATTATGATTATGATTATGATAGTATTAATATTATTACTAAGATTAATATTATTGTATTATTAATGTTGGATATTAAATAATCACTACTCGAAATCATTCGAATAATTTTATTTATATCGAGTGAGATGTAAGAAGATAGAGAGAAGAGGTAAATGAAGATGTAAAGAAAAAAGACACTGACTGACTGACTGACTTTTGATGGGAAATAAGAAATGTTGTTTTACGGAAAGGGCGTTTTAAAAATGAGGGGGTTGTTGGTTAATAGTTGGCTACTGGACAAGGGAATCAACAACATCGATGATAAAAAATGATGATGATGATGATGGTGTTAAAGGAAAAGAAGAATGTGAACAATGAATGTAACCGATTCAGATATTTATACATTATCATTAATAAATACTAGGTCCAAAAATGCAAAAAAACCCGACAAGACGTCATTTTTTATAAAAATGTATGATTCACGTGACAATCGGCCTTCCGAACATCTCGCGATAAAAATTCCCACGCTTAATTTATTCGAAAAGCATGTTTAGTGATGTTTAGTGAATATCAAATGTCCTACAAAAGTTTATGTATAACGCTGTCAGTCCCGGCCATTTCTTGTTGTGAATTAAAGTTCATTTTTTTGAAACTTAAGCATAACTTTCGCATCTGTATATGGATCCTAATTCAAGTAGCAAAATATTAATCTTGGTAAGTTGCAAGTGGATCTGAATCTAGATCTGTAAAACAGCGTCCAAAAGTTTAGGATCTAGTTCGATCTCGGTTCACGTTGTACAAAAGCACATCGGAGAGATAAGATCCCGTTCCTTGATGCTTTTTTCCGAATACTGGTTACAAGTTATGTGTTCGTGATGTAGATTGTTGCACGAAGACTGTCCTCTTCTTGTTATGACAACCAGCACTTTCGGGATTTCTAGTGGTTATATAGTCAAATGTCAAAGTCATTCTTATTTAACGATGTCTCATTTTTTATTGAATATCGTAGATGCAAACTAGTAAAAGAAATATTGATTTATAACTTCGTTCATTCATTAACATTGTTTTCATTCATTTTATATATATATTAAAATTTATGTTTACAGTGAAAAAATTAACGTTGGTTATATCTCTTTACATTCCACTCACGACTTAATGCTTATAATTAAAATAATTTTCCTAAATCAAGGTTTTTATTCCGTGGCGGGGTCCGGCGCGATAGTCCCGGAAAAGTGATTTTTTCCGCATTTTTTATATGCAACTGCAAAGGTGATGTATGACTTATTCCACTTTGTCTGTGTGTATGCGTGGATATGTTGTATTTATAAACATAAATAATTTGATCCTTCCCGTTATAAACGAAAACTAGGGGGCTATCAATTGAATTAGCATGTCGCACATTTATATTTTTGGTAAACACAAATCAAAAACTCTGTTTAGCAAGTGGTAAATTTACCAATATGTCAGATAGACTTTGAAATATATGTTTCACCAATTTCCTATTTCCTAATGTGTGTGTTATTATACCTATTTATTTACTTATCTAACGATCGAGAAATAACAAAGATGCACCAACCAATTCTCTGCTTGGTTAAAGATCGAATTTCGATCATAATCACTCGGCCGTGGGAAATGAACTATATTTCTGACGCATTTAGCTCAGAATATTAAAGACCGATTTTAAGATCTTTAGTATTAGAAATAGAAACGATTATCTCCCCGACATTTTTCATTAGTGCTTCAAGCTAAATTTAAGCATACATTTTCCGTCCTTTTTTACATTTTCACTCCGGATTGATCAAACAATTTGTCGCAAATATTAAACCTTTCGGTTGAGGTTAGGCGTTATATTATACATAAGAGTAAATAGCAAGGAACATTTTTTGTTTAAACACAAAAACAAAAATTTTGCTATTTTCAGAAATAAACGTGTTTTTCCTTCACATATTGATCTTTCGATCTTTAAAAAGATCACGTGAATTTACAATGATCCCGATTTCACAATGGCAAATTTACAAGAAACTTTGATGTATGCTTGAAAGCTTCAAAGAATCATGTTCTAGAAAGATTAAAAGAAAAAGGGATGATCAAAAAAATAATTCATGCTTGAATATAACGTGATTCAGATTTTGTTTTCAGGACATAATTTTTCCGGAAAAATCGATCGAGTTGAATTTTATAGATTAGTGATCGCTACCTCGATTTGCACGAAATGTAAAATCATTGATATCCATACATTAGTAAATCCAAAAGTTAATCGTATAAATTCGTCATATTAGTGGAACCAGCGTTGGCAATTTATTTAATCTAAAGAGCCAATACTATGGATTACCGATGTCTATTATAATATGTATAAAAACAGGTCGAAATCGCTGGAGATTGTTAAAGCAAGTGTATAAACAAATAATTTAAAAACTCAATATTTTTTGTTCGTTATTTTTGTCACTGCAATCAAGGATCTTAACTATAGAGATACGCTACACTATAATTCCAGGAAATCCAATAATATATATAATTCTGGCTACCATAACTCCATCTCCCAGTGATCCAAACTCGATTTTAGCTCTTAACAATGAAATTAGTAAAATGCGTACAGAATCAGAGTGGTGAATCAGTGTAATAATATATATATCTCTCATAATTACAGGGCAAGTTAGCCGTAACAAGCCATAAATCTGAATATTCAGATTCCATTGGGTTGAATTCACTTCCCTCTTCAATGAAAGGAGGAAAAAAGATCCCCCACGAAAATGTATAATGTCTTGTCTGAAGAAATAGGCCTCAGTCCAGCAACACTTGCAAGTTTCTATAGGCATCAAAAAACGCCGTAAAGGACATCGTTAGATAAAATCGAATTTGGATTGAAAAAGAAAATAAAAGATAATTCCATCAGTGTTAGCTATAGAAACAATGGTAATATTATGTTTTGTTATAATAACGAAAATAATGATAGTAACCGCGAGCTCAAAGAATAGGAGTAGGCTGGCTTTGAATCTAACTCTACTGGTAGTTTGCCTCCCATGCAAGCTCGCGGTTATTCGACTCACATTATTTTTGCTTGCAAATTAAATTTTTATTTGTAATATTAACGCTAATCCAATTGTGCAAAAAATAGCTAACTTTAATAATTGTTTTTCAAAATTAATTTTTTAATATAATAAATTGTAGTTAATAAAGTTTTATAAAGATATTAAAATAAATTTTATAGACGAAAAAAAATTCTCAACCGTGTATAGCATCGATATCAATACATTCCAGAAATACACATGTAAAAAGAAAAATAAAACACAAGAATTCCCTTCTTGCAAAAATTCTTTATTGGTATAAAATACATGATGGTAATATTTATTATAAAATGTAAACTCTATATTCGAATAATATTTCCTATACTTACCTAATATTAATTATGAGGCGGGGATGAAAACAGTAGGGTGGTTCCCAAAAGATTTGGTGTGCAACGTATGGGGTGTTAATGGGATTTCCGAATGGTCGAGATGAAAATATCTCGGTATCCCAGCAAAGTCCTTTACAAGAACGTTGAGGCGTATATCTGTACCAGCAAACTGAATCCCTACAATTCCAAATTAGTTGCCAACCGGTCTATATGGCGCACCTACAAAGCTCACCCCGTCTAATGTTTCCCTCCATAACTTCACGTCATCGTCCATTTTTTTTGAAATAATACGTGTGCACTTCAATTGAAAAACCGAATTTGTAATATAGGATATTAAGTTTGGATGTTCAAGAGTTTTCAAGAATTCTGGTCTACGATTTTCTGATGGAAGCCGTTACAATTTCACAGCATAAATCTCACAATAAGGACACCATGTATTATGCTTGTTTATTAAAAGTTGCATACAGTGACTCTCGATATAGCGGAGACTAATTAAAATCTGAGAGAGGTTCAAATCAGCCATAAAAATCTCACTCGATATAACGGATTTACTAATAAACTCACAATATAGCTCCAAGTGCCCGAACCACATCCGTTATATCAAGGTCACTTTGCACCATTTATGACCTGGCACAGCTTCATAATCACAATTTTTATATGGGGCGTGCTGCAACAAAACCAGATAAAGTGAACATCTGACGTCAAGTGCAATTAGAATGACGTTTTAATTTCTCTTTCTTAGCGCTAGCATTAAGGTTATTCCAATGGTAAATAAAGTACTTGAAATTAATCAAAGAGGAGATATTTTCTTTGCTTAATTTCTGCTAATTCTTTTTCAACTTAGCACGTGGTTTTCTATTTCATTTTTGATAGTAAGCTTCCGGATCCCTTAATTTTTCAGCAATTCTTTCATTATCCATAGTGCCTAGCATTTAACCATTTCTTTAATTATTCTTTCTGCTCGTGATCTTTTTTTCATTTAGGGAATAAAATCATAGTTAATGTGTTTTCTTTTTCCAATTTATCATCAATGTCTTTATCATTGTTTGCTCTTTTTTCTGCTTTATTAATCAGTTTATTTTCTTTTTCTAATTGCATAAAGATAACAAAGTCATGATAATTTAATCTTTTTTCAATCTTTTTTATGATCTCTTGTAAAACTTCTCATTTGAAATCAGGTTTCAGATCTATAAAGATGCCGATCACGTGACTTGTCTCATTTTTGATTTCAAAAAAATCAAATTTAAATAAGCCAAAAAATTAATTTACATACTTGTCAAAAAATCATGTGCTCAAAAAGTTATGTATTAATATTATATTCATAAAGAAATCAAATATTTTTGAGCATTCAATTTGGTTTTGAATTTTAAAATATAATCTAATAAAATATAACTAATATAATAATTAATAAAAAATAAAAAAATATGATTTGAGATCAATCAATCAAATTAAAATTTGTTAAATTATATATATTTTATTTATAAATATTATTATTAATTTATTTATATTTTATATTAATAAAATATTTATTTAAGTTAAAATATAAATATATTTTATTATAAAAAATTATTATAATAATAATTAAAATTTCTAACATATATATTATAAGATTTAATAAATTTATAATTATTATATTAATAATTTAATATTTTAATAAAACTAATTTATTTATTTTATAAAAAAATTATAATTTAAAAATTTTATTTCTTATTAATTTATAATTTAATATTTTTTTAATATTATTAGCATTAAATTAATAAATTATTTAAAAATTATATACAGTGACAATCAAAAATAATGCAACACTTAAATTTTTTACTAATTATAATTAATAAAATATGTATTTTTTCTTACATATAAAAGTTTTTAATTTTATTAACAAATATTTTTTATTTTTAGCTCAAAAAATAGCTAAAGT